GCAAAGAGTCAGACACGACTGAGCAATTGAACTGAACTGAATAGAATATGTGGAAAATAAAAAGTTTTTTTAACGTTTAATAAAATCGCCATTAAGTCCCAAACCCAGAAATATACCCCCCATATATACTTCCAGTCTTTTTTTTTCTGTGGACGTATGCATGTGGTATATAGGTGCTCATACAATATGTCACATCATAATTCTGCGGAGAACTGAACTTCAATCCTGCCCCTGGCAGACTTGGTTAAGTGGGAAGACCTTGGTCAGAGAAGTTCAGCTGGGCCACCCAGAGTCTGCACCTCCGCCGAACCTCGCCTCCGTGTGGTGTCATGCATGGTGACACCCATGAAATCATACGTGACCAGATTTTATAGCGGAAATCACATGCTACTATGGTGTCTGGGTGTCAACGAAGGTCTCAGAAACACACTTCCAGCAAATGCCAAGGGTCGGCTGTACCTTGGGTGAGTGTTTTTTCCTACTTGGATCATGTGTTATTTTTTTCCATTTATATCAGTGCAATATGGAAACACATAGGTACCTCATAAATCTTCTGTGCTATTTGCTATAAAGAGTGAGTGTCCAGGCACCAAACTGTATAAACACAGCTGGTATGCAGTAAAACTATTTAGATAGCCAGTGTGTTTATTTTGTTCTTTCATAGTCCATCCTACGGTCCCACCTAGTACACAGTAAATGTTCAGTGAAAGGCAAATATTATTAACTGTGACTCTGAAATAATTTCTATGGGCCCAAAAGAAAAGTGCCACCGAAACGACTAAATTACACTATGCAAAACTGATGTAGAGAGAGAAGGGGGAAAAAAAAAAATCAAATCTCTTCCTGCTGACCAGGAAGCCTGGCTCAGCAGCGACACCGTGTGGTCAGAGATCTCAGATTCCCAACAGCACAGAGTATTTTACAGGAAGCAGGAAGCAGAGAGTCTACTGGCATCTAATCCCAAAGGCAGGTGAGAACCCTAAGGATGAGTCATGTGTAACAGATGATGGAAAGCAGGATCCTCCCCTTGTAACTTACTTCCATGCAGAGCAATGAGATCTATTAAAAAGCCTAACAAAGGAAAACCAAACAGAAAGTACAGTCCAATTCTGTTCCCAGTCTGCCATCCGTATCTTTAACACGGAGCACCAGCAAAATGACTCCAAGGTGTTCCAAGATGTCTCCAGTTCAGCATCAGAAGAGGAGCTGGGGGACTCGCCCAGAAGGACCATCACAGCCGATCAACGAGCAGCCACCTTCACATTCATTTGCACAATAATCCATTGGAGAACTTGTATTGCAGGAAAACATATGCTAAAACCCTGAATTCTTGAATTTCTTTCTACAACAAACTCAAGGTCTTCTAAGAGGAATTAAAAACCACTAAGAAATGAGGAGACTTGTGTGTGTGTATATATATATATACACACACACATATACACACACACACACACACACACAACAGTCACTCCTGTACTCAATCCCTTGCACTCCCAAAGGAAGCAGAATTCAGAGCGAAGCACGCAGGAGGGGAAAGTAGTCCACAGGATAGACATCCAAGACCCATCAGGCCAAGTGGAAGACTCAAAATGAGAAATGAACATTTCTCAGAATCACTCTTTCCCAAAGATACTACATAGTAAAGGCCGGCATGGGGTCTGCGCGGAATGTTTGTGTGTGTGTATACAGATCAAATATTCGCTTGCCTGGTGGCTCACATGGTAGAGAATCTGCCTGCAATACAGGAGACTCGCGTTTGATCCCTAGGTCAGGAAGATCCCCTGGAAGAGGGAATGGCTCCCCACTCCAGTATTCTTGCCTGGAGAATTTCGTGGACAGAGGAGCCTGGCAGGCTACAGGAGTCCATGGGGGTCGCAAAGAGTTGGACACAACTGAGCGATTAACACTTTCACTTTTACATTTGTTTTCACATTGTTAAACCTTTGCATTCCCATGGTTTGTTGAGTTGTTGTCGTTATTGTTCAGTTGCTAAGTTGTATCAGACTCTTTGTGAACCCCACAGACTGCCACACCAAAGGCTTCCCTGTCGTCAGTGGGGGTTATCAATCAATAGGAGAAAATGGAACTCCCACCCCCAGGCAGTTAAAAAAAACAGGAGAACAAAAATATAAAGCATCTTCTGAGTATTGTAATATACAAGTTCAGTTCAGTTCAGTCGCTCAGTCGTGTCCGACCCTTTGTGACCCCGTGGACTGCAGCACGCAGGCCTCCCTGTCCATCACCAACTCCCGGAGTTTACTCAAACTTATGTCCATTGATACCATCCAACCATCTCATCCTCTGTCGTCCCCTTCTCCTCCCGCCTTCAATCTTTCCCCGCATCAGGGTCTTTTCCAATGAGTCAGCTCTTCACATCAGGTGGCCAAAGTATTGGAGTTTCAGCTTATACACAAATATGCAAAGCCCAAGGTTGTGGCCCATCCTAAAGAAGACACGGGAAAAGCTAGACTTCCAAACCTCAGCTCACAGGGGATTAAGACAAGAGCAGGTGACTCTTTCCACTGCTACGTCCAAGAGTCAAGAGGCTCAAGTCCCAAGATTGGCATGGTCAGAATTCACGGGAGAAGTCAGAGGGCACTGACAGGGCCAGCCTGGGTCGGTCTCCCTCCCTGACCTTGGAGCAGGCAGGCACCCCTCATGAGTCCAGCCTCAGCGCTCCACACTCAGGCAAGGAGAGCGAGAGGTCTGGCAGGGTGACTCCAGAAGATGAGAAACCCTCACCCCAAAGCTCCGCACTATCCCTCCAGCGTGGGGGCTTTCCTGTTGTTCTGTCGCCCAGTCGTGTCCAACTCACTGCGACCCCCTGGACTGCAGCATCCCAGGCTTCCCTGTCCTTCACCATCTCCCAGAGTTTGCCCAAATTCATGTCAGTCGAGTCGGTGATGCCATCCAACCATCTCATCCTCTGTCGTCCCCTTCTCCTCCCGCCTTCAATCTTTCCCAGCATCAGGGTCTTTTCCAATGAGTCAGCTCTTCACATCAGGTGGCCAAAGTATTGGAGTTTCAGCTTATACACAAATATGCAAAGCCCAAGGTTGTGGCCCATCCTAAAGAAGACACGGGAAAAGCTAGACTTCCAAACCTCAGCTCACAGGGGATTAAGACAAGAGCAGGTGACTCTTTCCACTGCTACGTCCAAGAGTCAAGAGGCTCAAGTCCCAAGATTGGCATGGTCAGAATTCACGGGAGAAGTCAGAGGGCACTGACAGGGCCAGCCTGGGTCGGTCTCCCTCCCTGACCTTGGAGCAGGCCGGCACCCCTCATGANGGGGGGGGGGGGGGCAAATTCCCTGGATATCCAGGAGTCGCGACTCCAAACTCTCACTAAAGGAAGTGCAGGTTCGGCCCTTGGTCAGGGAACTAAGATCCTCCATGCCGTGCAGCACAGCCAAAAATAGAAGAAAAAAAAGTAAGAAAATGCAATGAATGTTTCTTAGATTTAAAAAACATCATCCATTGCTATAGTTACAATTTTTTTTTTATTAAAAACATCACTTAGTCCTTTTATCCTAGGCACCAGGAACTTATTAGGCACATTATACACTCTTAACTCATTCAGTCTCCCAACAACAACAATAATAATATAACAGTAACAATAATAATTGCGCTAAAGTTTAAATAATACAATTTACACAAAACTTTCACAGGTATGGCTTCATGTAGTCCTCAAATACTCCTGCAAGGTATCCGAATCCTAAACGCTGTCAGATTTTCTATCTGTCTCCTCCAGCTGACATTCCCACCCAGAAAACTCACAGCTCTAATCTCTGCCGAAAAGTAGGTTGGCCAGGGGACAGAGGACAACCCAAAAGAGAATTCTTCAGGGAATATCCAGCAGTTAGGACTCCCAGCTTCCACTGCCGAGGGCCTGAGTTTAAATCCTTGGTCGTGGAACTAAGATCCCACAGGCTGCACCCGTGGCTTAAACAAGACAACAAGCAAACAAAAAAAACACCCAAGAGAAAAACAGAGAATTCTCCTTCCTTTAGAAATGTTGGTGCAGAGGGTATAATTTGCTGTTTTCAAGGGAAAGCAGGTAAGTTTAGAATAACCTAGACTATCAGGTATTTGCTGAAACTACACAGTTATGTCACTAAACTCGCAAGTTTACCTACTGAGGAAGAGACAGACCCACAAAATAATACGCCCCAAGTAATAAGAAATTTAACAGCTTCACAAAGCCAAGAGATTATCGAAAAGATGTACCTGAAAAACCTGGCAACCAGCCCAACCTGGTAACAACCTCAGGCATAAACGAAGACAAAAGGCCAAGAAAAATTCTGAATACATTCCCAACTCCGTGGCATTTTCCTTTTAGACAAAACTAAAAGACATAAACTGAAACCCAGAGACCTCCTTTGCCACAAGAGGGCAGACATCAGCACAAAAGTTGTGGTTTACCCATCCAAAAATTCCCTGAGCAAGGCCCAAATCCAAACAAAGGCTTTTAATCCCAACTGAACAGTGTGCTTTCCAAAGACACTCCCGACACATAAAACAGTGCCCTTTCCCCGAGTGGAAAGGGCGATAACTTAAGAGACTTAACACCCTCTAAACTCCAGTGNAAAAAAAAAAAAAAAAATCAGTTACACTTGGACAATTTTACTGTGATTTCCAAACCCAAAGTCAAAAGAGAAACAGAAAAATCCAAACAGAAACCCAGGACATCCTTGGTGGTCTGGTGGTGAAGAACCTGCCTGCCAGCACAGAGGACATGGGTTCGATCCCTGGTCTGGGATGACCCCACATGCTGTGGGGCAACTATGAGGCAACTATGAGGCCCTGTGAGAAGCCCCCGTGATAAGAAGCCCACACACTGCAACCAAAGACCTAGCAAAGCCAAAAATAAATGAATAAATATTAAAAAAAAAAAAAAACACTGAAATCAAAATTGAAACCCCCTGCCACACGACAACTGGGGGAAGGGTCACCATTCTGAAGAAGGGCATCTGAGGGGGTCCCTCCCCAACACACACTCACCTCCGTCGCCGACAACAGGTAAAGAGGCGTTAAGGCAGGAGCTGGCTTTGCATCGCAGCTTAGACCCAGCGTCGTCAGGATCTCCATTAGGACTTCATATCTTTTAAAGTTGCTTGATTTGAGCAGGTTAAAATCCTCTTGTGTTTGCACTGCCGGAGAGCTGGGAGGTAGTTCCAAGTGCACCTGAGGGGGAAAAGACACCACTTCATAAATCAGGGGCACTGAGGCACAAAAGCAAAAGCAGTGTCCTCACTAGCTTTTCTGAAAACTGGGACATGCACTCTTCTCGTTATCAACACTATATAAACCTGGAAGCTGGCCATTTGGAAAAGAACAAGCGGTGAAAAGAGTCATGGGGGCCGGTTAAAATCACGGCCGTGGACGAACGGAGAGAGAAATACACACCACCATCTGGCTTCCCTGCTGGGTCAGTGAAGAATCTGCCTGCAGTGCGGGAGACCCGGGTTCAGTCCCTGGGTTGGGAAGATGGAGAGGGAAATGGCAGCCCACTCCAGTACTCTTGCCTGGGAGATTCCATGNATGGCTGATTTATGTTGCTATATGGCAGAAACCAACACAATATTGTAAGGGAATTAATTATCCTTCAATTAAAAATAAGAAAATTTTTTAAAAAGAACTATCAAACTTTGCCTTAAAGATAGTTAACCTAATAAGTTCTTACTGATGGGAGGAAAAAAAAGTTGTGGCTGTGAAGGCTAAAAGGATCTGCACTAAATGACCACGGATAGTCATTTTCCAGGTCCCGAATTTTATCACTAGTCAGTCACAGGACCTTGGACAAGTCACTTAACATGGTTATAGGATGAAGAGTTGAGGAAAATGAGTGTGCTGAGAACCCAAGTATAGTTGCTGCTGAACTTAGGAGGGCATGGTGAATCATGCTTGAAACTCCTGTTCTACCTACGGGTCCTAACTACCAGGGATGGCAGTGGCCTCATCCACCTCTTGAACAAGAGTGCTGGTGATCGGTGGGAGGTGAGAGGGTGGTTCAAGAGGGACGGAACATATGTATACCTATGGCTGATTCACGGTGATGTGAAACCAACACGGTATTGTAAAGCAATTATCCTTCGATTTAAAAAACATGTTGGCACCGAGGAAACCAGAATTGAAAGAGACATGTGTACCCCAATGTTCATCGCGGCACTCTTGCTTTTGCCAGGGGCAGCTGTAGCTTTCTGTTGCCAGCAGAACTCCCGGCCTGATGTTATAAGAACATGATAAAAAGCCTAGGGCCAGCCTTTAGGCAACTTAAAATCTCTCAATCCCCACTCAAGTCTTAACCAGAACAAAAATACTGCCCAAATACCCTGACCAAAACAACGCGCTTGTGGGAAGTTGAAGCCCATCTAAGAAGGCTCGCAGAGCTGTGCAGCTCCCACATCGGGTCAGCTGAGAGCTGCCCGCTTCACCCACGGCTGAGCCTGGTGCCCACTATCAGCAGGCCCCAACCTTTTTTGGCCGCAGGGATCATCCTCATGGAAGACAATTTTTCCACAGGGTTGGGGGGAGTAGGGGGGCGGTCCAGGGTGATTCAAGCACATTACATGTATTCTATTATGATTCCATCAGCTCCACTTCAGATCATCAAGCATTAGATCCTGGGGGCTGGGGACCCCTGCCTTAAACTGCCCTGGAGGAGGGAGAAGGCAGAAGAGTGACATCCTTTAAGGTATTTGAATCCCACTGCGTGTCCTCTATGTTGTTACCCAAAGGTGTGCCTCTCCTCTCCTGGGGACAAGGCCAGTGCCGGGACGGACGGTCAGCACGGCGACGGGTCACATTTCATCCAGGTGATCATGTGACTGTCCGGAGATTACCTCTTGCAGGCGGCAGAAATCAAATGAGCAAGCTCTGTCCTCACCTGGGGCCGGGGCAGGGAGGGGAGGGGCGAGTGTTAAAGGTACATGTGCCCCCTGCACAAGTACCCCAGGGTGGGTGTTACACTGTCACAGGAGGGAGATGAGGAGGAGAAGGAGAGCTCCCCCTAGTCCTCGGGATTGCAGGAGATGAAGGAAACATCCAACACTGTATGCTGAGGGCTGTTGTCAGTTTCAAGATGAGGTGTTTCTACAATGCAGAAGGGTCTTCCCCGGTGGCTCAGAGGGTAAAGAATCTGCCCACAGTGTGGGAGACCTGGGTTCGATCCCTGGGGTCGGGAAGATTCCCCTGGAGAAGGGAATGGCAGCATTCTCGCCTGGAGAATCCCCATGGACAGAGGAGCCTGGCGGGCTGCAGTCCATGAGCTCACAAAGAGTCAAACACGACTTACTAACACACACACACACACACAGCGGAGACAAGAAGAGAGGCCACATCTGCCTCTGCATCTCGCTCCGCAAAAAGGCCACCTGGGTGCGTGCTAGCCACACTCACCCTCATGGTCCTCTGCAGTTTGAGACAAATGTCTCACCCTCCAGCTGTAATGATGTTACCATAGCAATGGGCCCATTTCAGTAACTTGGCCTTGTCTAAAATTAAGGCATTTAGACCAGACCCAAAGCTTTAGTCAAAGCTATGGTTTTTCCAGTGGTCATGTATGGATGTCAGAGTTGAACCATAAAGAATGCTGAGCNACAACTTCATGCCAACGTCCTGGTTCATTTGATAATCAAGTGTCTGCCCTAATCCACGACCTTAAAAATTGTTCCTGCCTGTCTGGTCAGTAGAGCGGTACACCAAGATTTCCTTTTTCTGTGTGACTATGAATGTCCAAGGCATTAACTGGTTCCCTGGCTGTGAGACCACCGCCTACTGTGCAGCTGTGGTTTGCCCGTGAAGCCCTCCTCTTACTGGGTTACATCAATGCTCCATTTACGACAAAGATGAAGACTATGAAATGGAACAGGGAAAGAGGAAACACCAGCCTGTGCTCAGATTTACTGGTTGATCTCGGCGGTATGGTAGTGACACAGGCCTGAGGAGAAAAAAGTGACTCTGGAACACAGAGAGTGGAAGTCATTTAAAATCAAAAATGACATTCTAATCCTCTGAATCTCATTTTTGAAGCTGCATCATATTGCCTTTTTTTTCCTAGGGCAATGCATGCAGTATCAAATTTTATGACAGTGATGGGGTCAATTTAAATGGTGCAGCAGGCAGATTTGCTATGTAATTCAGAGCAACAGATCACCACAGTGCCGAATCAATTTTCTAGTACAAGTCTGTGCGCCGGGGTGGTAAAATTCACTACTCAAAGCTGAAATACAGCTCTAGGAAGTCAGGTTTTTAAGTGGATTTTCTGAGAAGGCAGAGTTACTATAGTTACCATATTCGCAGAGGAAAAAAAGAGGAGCATTTATTAGGCCTCCAAAAACGAATGCACGGGATTTGCAGCCCACATGAAATCAGCTTGGGTTGTACATGTTTATCTGGCCTGATGGTCAGATTTCTTCATTATATGCATCTACAATCTTCATTATATACACCTACATATAATTCAAGAAGTATTACCTTAAGAACAAGTGAGTGAACTCTAGAATAGTAAAGAAACAAGTATCTGTCCCCTTGAAGAAAGTCTGATCAGAAAACCCAAGAGACTTAATTTATAGGAGGACTGGAGAGTGACACAGTATATGAAATGAAAAGAAGTCACACCAAAAGAGAAGGCAAACAATTCTCTAACTCAATAAAAAGATCCATATAATAAAACAAAATCTGTTACACTCATCCAGGGAACCATTCTGGGCAAAACAGCCACATCTACTTAGCTTTCTCATTAGATCACAAATCCTTAAGGATGAGAGTTCATCTAAACTCTAACAAAATCTTTCGTCCAAAGGTATTAAAAGATCTGCAGTAAATGATCAGGAATTCTGAAGCAGTCTATCCTGCTACCATTTGCTTAAACAAACAAACAGAAAGCTAAAAGGGGAACATGGGGGGAAAAAAAACAGCTCTGGAACCAAAGACATCCCCTAAGGATGGAAGGGAAGTAGCATTTTCCTTTTATCTGTCTCCATTTTCTTCTTACTTATGTATTTATGTGTGTGTGTGTGTTAAGTCCCTTCAGTCATGTCCGACTCTTTGCAACCCCATGAACTGTAGCCCACCAGCCTCCTCTGTCCATGGGATTTCCCAAGCAAGAATACTGGAGTGGGCTGCCATTTCCTTCTCCAGGGGGAGCTCCCCCACTCAAGGATCAAACCCGGGTCTCTTACATCTCCTGCATTGGCAAGCGGGTTCTTTATCACTAGCACCACCACCTATGTAATAATTTGCCAGAAATCACTTCAAGATCACTTCACTTATTTGAACCTGTGCTCAGCACTTAGATTTTAAGAGTGACAAATCATAAAGAAACTAAGGAATTGAAGGTGTTTTCAACACAGTATCCCAGCAGTTGGTGAGTGTTCAGGCACATCCCTGACATCAACTACAACATTTTAATGTGACAGACACTACTGTTGGGAATCACCAACCCATGGAACTCAATTCCCTACATTAGATAACAGTTTAAGTTTATTAACTAAAGAGTGTTTTGAGGCAAGAGAGTGAACTGACAGATTTTAGAAAGAGTATAACCAACCAGAGGAGAAGGGGGCGGCAGAGGATGAGATGGTTGGATGGCATCACCGACTCAACGGACATGAGTGTGAGCAAACTCTGGGAGATGGTGAAGGACAGGAAAGCCTGGCGTGGCTGCAGTCCATGGGGTCGCAAAGAGTCATACTGAGCAACTGAACAACAACATAACCAGTATACAGTTTAAAACAAGCAAGAAGCTTTGGCTAGCCCGTGGTTAACCAGCAGTCTTTAAATAGCCTTAGCTGGTAAAGAATCTGCCTGCAATGCGGGAGACCTGCATTCGATCCCTGGGTTGGGAAGATCCCTTGGAGAAGGAAAGGCTACCCACTCCAGTATTCTGGCCTGGAGAATCCCATGGACCGTATAGTCCATGGGGGTTGCAAAGAGTAGGACACAGCTGAATGCCTTTCACTTTCACTCCCTCCTCTATCACAAGCCTTTCAGTGAAACAGGATACAGGACAGCCCGCATCTCAACCTGCAACTCAGCAGCGGCAAAAATTCCCCAGACAAGGTCAGAAGTACCCTCCGCACACAGCCCACAGACCCTCTGTCATCCTTTCTGGAACCTTCAGGAGCGTGTCCCGTCAAGAGACCCAAAGAGCTGGCTGCAGGCCTCCGTACCTGGCAAAGAACAGCTTCTCCTCCGTGAGTCCCGAAAGGCACCTGCACCAGAAGCCTGTCCCCATCCTCACTGTCCAGGTGGCCACGGAGCTTGCCGGGGCCGAGCGGCTCCCCAGGCCCCTCCTCGTAAACGCAGCCGCTGCTCAAGACGCTGAGCCTCACCGGGCTCCCGTCCGCCTTGCAGAAAACCAAGGTCTGGACCGTGTCCCGCAGCGGGGTCTTGCTGGTCACCCGGAAGCCAGGCAGCGTGAAGGACGCCGCCAGGGCCAGCAGCTTCCCTCCCTGAGAGAGATAGGCCGTGAACCTGCGGCACAGGTCCTCGGGCACAGGCTCTGCGGTGGCGATGACCAGCAGCAGACAGTTGTCCGCCCACGGGTCCCTGAGAGCGCTTTCCGGCGGCAGGTGGTACAGCGTGTAACAGTCCGTGTCCACACAGTCGGCCAGCGCCGATCGGACCTGCTGGAGCCGGTCCAGGCCATCCCGGGAGTCAGAGCCCACGTACAGGAGGATGTTGGGGGCCTTGCCCGTTACGTTGACCCTCCTCTCGTCCCTCTCAGGGCGGAGGTCGTCGTCGAGGCCCTCCAAACCGCCGCTGTAGTCATATGGGAGATCTGGAATGTTCTCTGCAGAGGCAAACCTGACGGACTCAATGGTGCTGTTCTCAAGCTCCAAACATTCATGGCAGCTTGACAGATGGAGGGGGCAGTGCTCCACGGAGCCCGCGCCTCTGTCACCGTCCACGGCCGGCTCGCCCCCCCCAGGGGCCCCACCTGGCCCCCGTGTGGATGTGGAACCCAGAGACCGGGGGTCCTCCCAGCCGTTGCTCTCCATAGTGTCGGGCTCAGGGTTCCTCTCAACAGAAGATTCGGGGTCGGGCTGCAGGAGCTGGGCTGGCAGGTCTGAGGCCTGACCCTTAAGTTCCTTTAGGGCAGAGTCCCGCAAGTGGACAGCTAAAGGGAAGAGAAAAAGACAACCCATCAGCCCTCTGCCTTGTCTCACATCTCANCACTAAACACTACGCTCTCATTTCAAAGGATCACTGAGGGCTTCCCCGGTGGCTCAGTGGCAGAGAATCCACCCGCCAATGCAGGACATACGGGCTCCATCCCTGGTCCAGAAATACCCCACATGCCGGGGAGCAACTAAGCCGGTGCGTCACAACTACTGAGGTCCGAGGGCCCTAGAGCCTCTGCTCTGCAACAAGGAAGCCGCTGCAATGAGAAACCCACACGCCGCAGCTAACAGTAGCCCCCATTTGCCACAACTACAGAAAGGCCCGCACAGCAACAAAGGCTCAATGCAGGCAAAAACAAATAAAGGAAATTTAAAAAAAAATAAAAGTAATGCAAGTATTGGACTTCCCTGGTGGTTCAGTAGTTAAGACTCTGCGCTTCCAATGCGGGATGGGCCTGACCCCTGGATGGGCAACTAGGATTCCACATCCTTCAAGCGCAGCCAATAATAATACCAGTAATTGAAGTCATATACTGCTTTTAAAGGGACTAAACGGGAAAGGGCCACTCCCCAGACACTGGGAAAACCCGCTCTTCAGTAACAGGAACTAGAACACCGTTAAGTCCACAGTATCCATGATGTAAACAGATCCTGTTTGCATCATGACACATACATACAAATCATACTACAGATTTTCCTAAAGTCAGGTCCAAGACCCAAGACAACAGAGGTCCCCGGGAGCACGTGAAAACGCAGGTTCCGGGGCACCACGCTCTGTCTGAACCGGAAGTGTCCCCAGGCTTCCCACCGATTCCTGAAGTGAGGGTAGCTGGGACCGCCTCTCCAGAGCGCGCCCGCCTGGCGCAGTGCACACTTCCACCACAAGGGGGCCAGGGGAAAGGAGAACGGGAAAGGGAGACAGAGCGCAGTCCCCAAAGCTCTCCAGTGTTCATGGAAGAACTGGAAACTGGACCGCGCAGAACGGGAGTTCCCCTGGGGTTGGGAGCCTGGCTAAGGGGTCCAAGGTCTGGGTCTGGGTAAACGCAGCTAATCGTCGCTGTCTGTCCCTAGGTAAGTCTCAGAACCTCTGAAGTCTCTGCTTATTCGTTTATAAAACAGGAATGATGGGGGTAACCCATCGTGTTATAGGTTCATTATGCTAATGAGATTAAAAGTTACTGTCATGCCCCCAGTTGAAAACTTGGGACAGAACATGTGTGTTTGTTAGTCGCTCAGTCGTATCCGACTCTTTGCGACCCCATGGACTATAGCCCGCCAGGCGCCTCTGTCCATGGAATTCTCGAGGCAAGAATACTAGAATGGGATGCCATTCCCTTCCCCAGGAGATCTTCCCGACCCAGATATCAAACCCAGGCCTCCTGCATTGCAGGCAGATTCTTTACCGTCTGAATCACCAGGAAACAGAAAAAGTGCTCAAATAATGGCAGCTGTTATTACTAGATATTATAAATCTGACTTTAAAAGCAATATTGAATATTTGGTTCGTGGTGTGTACATGCTCAGTCATGTCTGACTCTCTGTGACCCCATGGCCTATAGCCTGCGAGGCTCCTCTGCCCATGGGGTTGCCCAGGCAAGAATACTGGAGTGCGTTGCCATTTCCTCCTCCAGGGGATCTTCCTGACTCAGGTATCGAACCTGCATCTCCTCTGTCTCCTGCATTGACAGGTGAATTCTCTAACACTGGGCCACCTGGGAAGACCCACTGAATACAGTGGTCCTTCTCTAAGAAGCCATTAATAATTTCCCTACTTCCCAAAATCTTCTCAGGAATATACTGCCCCCTCTTCTGAAAAGTTTTTTTTTTTTTTTAAATGCTGGATAAATAAATTAAAAAATCATCTTAAAAGCACTGAAGAATTGACGAGATTATGAACTTCTGAGCCAAATGCCAGGATAAATCCTGAACCTACAGAGGTAAAGGAAATTCCCACAAGTCACTTCTGCCCTGAGGATACTTGCCCAACCAGGAAACGTGGGGCTTAAAAGTCAGGGTCCTACAGGCATCAAGATAGACATATAGACCAATGGAATAGAACTGAGGAGATAGAAATAGATGTATATATTTGAAAGTAATTGATTTTGGACAAAGTTGCCAGACAACTCAAGGGGAATGAATAATCTTTCCAACAAATGGTGCTGGTAGAACTGGACACCCACATGCAAAGAATGAAGATGGACCCCCTATCCCAGACCATGTATCACCAGGTATAAAAATTAACTCACGAGGAATCAAATCCTTAAATAAGAGCTAAAACTACAAAACTCTTAGAAGAAAACATAGATGTAAATCATCACAATGTTGAATCAGGCACTGGTTTCTCAGGTAAGACACCAAAAGTACAAGCAATAAAAGAAAAAAATAGATAAACTGGACTTCATCAAAATGTTTGTGCTTCAATGAACACTTTATGAAAGGACCATTCACAAAATGGGGGAAAACATTTGCAAATCATGTAATCAATCAGTAAGAGATCTGTATCCACAATATATAAAGAATTCCCACAACTCAACAATAAAAAGACAAATATCCAATTTTAAAAATGGGCAAATAATCTGAAGAAACATTTCTCCAAAGAAAATATACAAGTGGCAACAGCACTTGAAGAGATTNATTTTGGAGCCCAGAAAAATAAAGTGAGTCACTGTTTCCACTGCTTCCCCTAGGGAAACATAAATCCCAACCACAATGAGGGGCCTGCCTGATGGCTCAACGGTAAAGAATCTTTCTGCCAATTCAGGAGACTCAGGTTCGATCCCTGACCTGGGAAGATCCCGCATGCCACAGAGCAATTAAGCGCATGTCACAACTATTGAGCCTGAGCTCTGGAGCATGTGGCCTGCAACAACAGAAGCCACTGCAATGAAAACCCAAATGCCACAATGAGTACCCACCCCCTCCCACTCACTGCAACTAGAAAAAAGCCCTCACAGCAAAAAAGATGCAGCACAGGCAGAAAACAAAAATAAATAAAATTATTTTTTTTTATAAAAACCACAATGAGGTACTTCATCCTCTACTAGGACGGCTACAATTGAAAAGATGGAAGTAACAACTATTGAGGATGCTGAGAAATCAGAACCCTCATACCCTGCTGGTAGAACTGTAAAACAGTACACCCTCCTTAGAAAAGAGTTCATCAACTCCTCGAAAAGTCAAATACAGAGTTTCCTAATGACCCAGAAATTCCACTCCTAGAGAATAAAACTTAAGAGAACTAAAAACATATGTCTGCACACAAAACCTGTACACAGAAGTGCACAGCAGCAGTATTCATCACAGTCAAAGTGTGGAAACACCCCAAGTGTCCGCCTAAGTTGTGCTAAGTCTAGGAAGCCAGTTACTAAAAGGTCACATATTGAATGATTCTGTTTATATAAAAAAATCAAAATGGAAGGATCTATAGAGTTAACAAGTAGATTAGTGGTTGCCACAGACAGGAATGCTGGGGAGTGACTAATGGGAATCAGAGAGGAATGCTGATGGGTAGGTAGTTTCTTTTGGAATATGACAATGTTCCGGAATTAGTGATGACTGTACAGCTACTAAACTGTAAACACTTTAAAAGGATGAAGTTCACACTATGTGAATTATATCTCAATTAAAAAAAAAAAAAGAGTCTGGAGTCCACCAAGGTCCAACCCTACTCCACAAAATCTTTATTCCTTACTACTTCACTTTTCTCCTTAAAAGAGAATTCAAATTAAATTTAACTTTTCTCCTTAGGCAAACAATCATTCTAAAAGCTGAGAAACCTTGTCTTAGAGGTAAAAATAATAAACACAAATCTTTATGATCAACAGGCTGAAACACATTCCTCAGTCTAGAATATCTGCAGAAAGAGAAACGGCAGAATTCTCTTCCCTCACAACTGCAGGAGTCGCAGGCTCCATCCCTGGGTGGGGAAGATCCCCTGGAAAAGGAAATGGCAACCCACTCCAGTTTGCTTCCCTGGGAAATCTCATGGACAGAGGAGCCTGGCGGGCTACAGCCCATTAGGTTGCAAAGAGTCAGACACGACTAAGCAAGTGAGCACACACACTAGACTGACTCCGCCACCTCCGCACAGGTTCGCCTGGAGGGTGGGCCTGACCCACGCAGGCTTCAGTAGAATTCTGCATTTCAAATACAACACCTTTGATCCCAGATGAAGAGTTGAAGTCTACAATCCAGACAAAGATCTAGATGATTTCCAGCTCTGAGAGTGCAGGAAGGATGTCAGCTCTGGAGAATGAGAAAATAAACCACCACCTCGGTGACAGCTGAGTTTTCTGCTGAGGGTGAATGGGAAATATGAAAAGGAGCAGTGCAAGCCCGCTGCAGGAGACTAAAAGCATCTTTGTTCTCAGCACTATGTTGGCTGAGAATGATGGGAGATGTTCAACCACTGGAGACCCAGCCCAGGATTTAGTTGTTCAGATGTTGATGTAGCAGCCTGCTTCGGCGAGCACCAGCACGGAGCTGGAACGCAAAGTAGGCACTTGGTGTAAAAGGAGCCAACAATCGAATCCTCACACCCTGCAGGAGAGCTACAGGAGGTAAACATATCAAGGGGAAGGACAGGAAATGGCCAGAGAACAATATACACACTCATCCCGGATCAAGTTTCTAAACGCAGCCAGCTGTTTCCTCACCTAAATGCGTTTCCTTTTTCTAGGAACCTGGTCCGTGAGCCACAGACCATGCAAACTCCTCCAGCGGCACCATGGCCCCATCAAAGCAAAGCCACACGGTCACTAAATGCAAACAGTCCGCTTTCCTTTTGCACTTTGAGCTGGAGACAAAGAGGCAGAGAAAGAAAAGGGAAGGCAAGTCAAAGGCTTACTCCCAAAGATCAAAGCCAAGGAAGCCCCCGTCAGCCCAAAACAAAGGGATTTCCTCGCCCGTGCAGAAAGCCCTTCCAGTGCACACGGCAGGGGGCCCGGGGCCCAAGGGCGCTGGTTTAAACCCTCTTCAGTGAGTTGCCCTTCCCAAGGCTGCCTGCAGCGGGTGCTGAGCCGAGGCACTGCGGCTAATGAGTGGATGGGAACCTTAACAACTAGTCAGGTGACGGTTAACCTTATGTGCCAACTGGGCTGGGCCACAGTATCTGGATATTTGTCCAAACATTTCAGAGGTGACTGTGAAGATATTTTTCAGACGTGGTCAACATTTTAAATGATTTCACTTCGAGTAAAGCAAAGCATCCTCCTGTAACACAGGTGAGCCTCGTCTAATAAGCTGAAGGCCCTACAAGAAAAAGACTGCAGTTCCCGGAGGAAGAGGGAATTCTGCCTCCAGACTGCCTTCACTCAAGGTGCAACATCTATCCTCTAGGAGTTTCCAGCCTCTGGACTGCCCTGCAGATTTGGGACTCACCAGACTCCACAACTGGGCTTCCCCAGTGGCCGAGGAGTAAAGAATTCACCTGTAATGCAGGAGACGTGGGTTTGATCCCTGGGTGGGGACGATCCCCTGGGGAAGGAAATGGCAACCCACTCCAGTCTTCTTGCCTGGAAAAAAATCCCATGGACAGGGGAGCCTGGCGGGCTACAGTCCAAGGGGTCAATGCATAAGCACAGACTCCACAATCACGTAAGCCATTTCCTTAAAATAAACCTCTTTCTGTCTGTCTTTCTCTCCCTTCCCCCACTGCTTCTCCATCTCCCTCCCTCCCTATATATGTATGTGTAATGTGCGCACGCACACAGGCACACACACACACACGCACACGCACGCACACACACACACACACACACACACACACACCCATTCTGTTTCACAAGAGAACCCACATAAATACAAGTCACCATTAGTGAGCCTGGGTAAGATCAACGTCACTGCCTCGACACTGCTAATTTTTTGGCTCTCGTTTCTCTTCTCCCAAATCAGTGTAATTACATGTTAGGTTTTTTAAACATCTAGCAATGAACTGATTGGAAAAGGGCTAGATACACAAAGATGTGAAGATCTGAAACCATGACAGTCAGGGGAAGAGGTTATTTCCCACTTTCAGTTGTTCTCAGTGCCTTTTGGGTTTGGGAACAGAAAGGATACAGCAGGACTATAGAATTCGTTTTCACTCTCTATTTAACAAGGTACTATGATGTATGGTGCTTTTAAAAGAAGGGGATTGGAAACCCAAGTTAACAGCATATGATAAGTCCACCCACAAGAAGCAACAGTTGAAATGATAAAGTGACCCTGATGAGACTTAAGACGGATCTGCAAAACCATAACCAACCAGAAAATTCAGTGAAAAGGGTGGTCTAGGTGTTCTAATTTTCTGAGTAAATGACAGCTAATCAGAAAATAATAGAAATACCCTTGTTGTTATAACTGTTTTTTTTTGTTTTTTTTTTTTTGACCACACCACACAGCATGCAGGATCTCAGTTCCCTCATCAGGGGTCAAACCTACACCCCATGCAGTGAAAGGCCAGAGCCTTAACCACTGGACCGCCAGGAAAGTCCCTGTCATAACCGTTTTCTATGATGTATGTTATTTAAAAGCCCAATAAGCCTGTGAGGCCCAGCGTCTACAGGGTACTGTATTAGCAGCCACAGTTTTTCACTTTATATCCCTGTCCAACCCCATGTTGGTAAGCCAAGGAAGAACAGAAGTTTTAACAGATATCCCAAGTGTTGTGGTTAGCCACTGCTGCATAACAAATAACCCCAAAATTTCACAGCTTGCACTAATCATCTATTGCGCTCACAAATCTCAATCTGGGCAGAGCTTGACAAGGACAGCGCAATTCTGCTCCACATGGCATCAGTCAGGGTGGTTCCACTGGGCCTGGAAGATCCACATCCAAGGGGGTTCCCAACACAGCTGGCGAGCTGAGACTGCCTGCCAGCTAGGACTGTCCACAGAGGGCCTCAGTTCTTCACAGGAAACTCGCCTCAGGGCAGCTTGAGCTTCCTTCACAGCATGGGAGCTGGGTTCCAAGAACCCAGGCGAAAGCTGTAAGGTTTCTTATGATCTAGCCTTGGAGGCCCCAGAATGTCTCTTCCACCACATCCCTTGAAGCAGACAAATCACTAAAGTCAGCCTGGATTCAAGGGAGGGGTATAAAATTCCACCTGTCCTTAAGAGGAAGGAGTCTGCAGCCACCTTAAACCAAAATCTACGACACGGGGTTTCGGCCAGCTCTCTCACGCCTCCGCTCCGTGCGGGAATGGCACGTCCTGAGACGGCCATGCTCTCTCTGCCTGGTCCCCACACGGGAAAGAAGCCTGAAGCAGACCCAGTGTGCCAGAGCAACCAGAGACCTGCTCAGCCTCAAGCGTGACATGAGCAGAAAATGAAGATTTGCTGTCAGAAGCCACCGAAATTCTGAGGTCACCTGTTCACTCCAGCCAAGCTGACTATAACAGTGTGCAACACTGCATTCTTTAAAATAGGGGCCCCTCTACCAGCCCCTCCTGCCATATTCCCCGCCTCCAGAAATGACCCACCATCCACCCAAAAATCCATCATCAGCTCCTAAAAAAGCTCCTAAATCTGTCTCCACACCTCTCCTCCCTGCTGCCAATACTCTGCAAGGTTCACCTCTCTTCCCACACAGGGTACAATCCATTCCAGGTTTGCCTCCCCCGGATCCAGTCTCCAATCTGCCTGCATTATGATCTTTAACATAAGAATCTGCTCATTCTGCTTTAAAGAAGAAAAAGAAATGTTTTAGCCTGCTGTCCACAGGATAAAGTCCAAATTCCCAATTAGTGCATATAAACCTTTATAATCCATGTACCCTATGTATTTGCCATACTATTAAAGAACATTTAATTCTGGTACATAGAAAACCAGAAAAACAAACAGAATTTCATAGATACGCTATCAGTCTCTTTTAAGATGTGCTTAAAAACAAGCAAGACAAAAGGAACATGTGTGCTAAACACTGATAAAAAGAACAAAACAGAAGACAGTATTGCTCCCAGGCAGAAAATCAAGGATGGACCAAGTAAATCTTAGATAATAGTAAGACACGGATCTGCCACCTCCCAATTGACAGTTAAAAAGCGAAAGTGAAAGTCACTCAGTTGTGGCTAAGTCACTTGAGTCGTGACCAACTCTTTGTGACCCCATGGACTGTAGTCCGCCAGGCTCCTCTGTCCATGGGATTCTCCAGGCAAGAATGCTGGAGTGGGTTGCCATGCCCTCCTCCAGGGGCTCAACCCAACCCAGGGATCAAGCCTCGGTGTCTACATGGCAGGCAGATTCTTTACCATCTAAGCCACCAGGGGAGCCCCAGTTGACAGTTATGTCATCCCTAAATCAGCCACCTGTTAGGGTTCCATGCACATTCTGCCTAGAAACAGGCAAAACACGCGGCTTCTCTGCAGGTCACTGGTAAGCCGTAGCTCTCCCAGACACCCTGACGTCCTGAATCTCCCCAACAGAGCAAGCGTGTGCTGGCCACAGGCAGCCTCCCCCCGCAGAGTCCCTGTGACCGTAATCTTAAAGGACAGCCAATGCAGCAGACAGAGGTAGGATGTGTGAACCCTGCCTAGCTCAGGATTCAGGCGTAGAGTCCTTCCACCCCTCAGGAGCCCCATTCCAAGTGTTAACAGAACCCAGAACTGTTTCTTACTTATATTTTGAATTGATTTAATAGACTGTGCAATTTGAGCATCTTAACTTGGTCTGAGAGCCTCTCTATTCTGTGACCACTGGGTAATGAATGACCATTGGGTACTGTGACCATTTGGTAATGTTGGTAATGTTTGGTAACGTTCTGGAAAGCTATCACTGCATCGAGGTAATTTGATGCACCACAGGGTCACAGAACGAGTTGGACATGACTTAGCAACTAAACAACAGTAACAATGCTCCAGCCGCATCTTTCCGCTCTGGCCCTCCCCTGAACCACTCTGTCAACTCATGTTAATTAGACTCCAACTGGGACTTCCCTTCTGGTCAGAAGTTTAAGACTTTGCCTTCTAATGCAGGGGACCTGGGCTCGATCCATCGTCGGGAAGCTATAATAAGATCCCTCGTGCCATGAGAGCTTCCCCGGTGGCGCAGCTGACAACGAACCCGCCTGCAATGCAGAAGACCCTGGTTTGATCCTTGGGTCCAGACGATCCACTGGAGAAGGGATAGGCTAACCACTCCAGTGTTCCTGGGCCTCCCTCGTGGCCAGATGGTAAAGAATCGGCCTGCGATGCAGGATACCTGGGTTCGCTCCCTGGGCTGGGAAGATCCCCTGGAGAAGGGAACGGCCACCTACAGCAGTATTCTTGCCTGGAGAATTCCATGGACAGAGGAGCCTGGCAGGAAATACTCCATGCGGGTCTGAAAGAGTCAGTCACGACTGAGCGACTTTCACTTCATTTTGTGCCGTGAAGCAACCAAGCTAACACACTGCAATGAACAGCCAATGCAGCCAAAAGCAAATTTAAAAATTGCTTTAATTAGACTCCAATTGTCCCAGGTACAAGCGCTCTGAGTGCTTCTGCTCCTGCCTAGGAAGCCCTTTCCTCCTTCTTCACCTAATTCCTATTTTGCCTTAAAACTCAGCTGTTGCCCCCACCCTGAAAGTCCTTCCCGACATCACCTCATTTGGATGGGTTCACCATCTCCCCCACACTTGCTTTCCCAGAGCACTTATCACAATGGACTTTAATCGTTCATTTACTTAGCTATCTTCTCCCCCATCCATAAGATGACTGTGACTGTCATCACTGAATCCATTATTTTCCTTTAACTCTTTATTGAATTTGTTACAATATTGCTTCTGTTTTACATTTTGGTTTTTTGGCCACAAGGCATAGGGGATCTTAGCTCCCAGAC